GTTGATTAGAAGCGGAACCGGGCAAACACTTGGGAAATTTTCAGAGCTGCATTGACTTACCCTGGCCATGGACTTCACGGATGACTTGACCAACCGAGTGTCAGGGACGTGGTCGCTGCCGACCACGTCGCTCGGTAGTAGCAGAGCTTTCGACAGATCAAAGGCGAGCAGATGCTCTTTGTCAGCCTTGATCGAAGCCGTTGCCGGGATATCCTGACCCCGGTGCTTCAAGTGGGGGCGCCAGGCCGGTACTGGGGCGGGGGTGTCAATTGGATGCTCAGTAGTTAGCTCGGCGGCTAACTCAGCGGATGGGTCTACCCGAGCTCTTTTTCCGGCGCGCCGCGCAGATGGTTCTCGGCTGGATTGCCCGGCGGATTGAGAGGCAAGGGCAACCACTGCACCACTGGATTGACCAGCGGCAGGAGACCGGGTTACGACGCTCAGCACCTCGGCGGATGTGGCGGTGAGCAGGTTCTTGATTCTGCTACGCTTGGCCATTTCTTCTTCCTCGGTCAGGCGAATGAGGGGAACGTCTGGCAGAGTAGGATCCGGTGGAGGTGTTGGAGCTCGGAGGAAGTCAGTCACTTTACTCCGGCGGGGAGCGGAGTATCTATATGTGGGACTGTAGCCGAGGAGTTGGTTACAATCTCGGTTGCGGTAGCGAAGCGCGGTCCTGATTGCCTCTACGTTGGGGAAATTGTAGTTAGCTTGCAAGGCTTGGATGGCTGCAAAAGAAACAAGAGAATGATTAAAAACTACAGAAAAATCGGGAAAGTGTATAGACCGGGATAATTTGCGCGGCTTACATGTGCTCCCAAAATTTTTGCTAATCATCCAGCCCGGTACCTCGGCAGTCTCGTAGTTGCCAGACACCCAGAAGAAATCATCATCGTGAAGATCCTTGTCTGGTGTGCCGGTTACGATTTTCTCTCTGCCCGGTCTGATCTTGAGGTAATAGGCGAGACCGTCGCCGGTGTGGCCCAAGGTGTATTGGCGTAGGACCTCGGCTAGACCTAGGCTAATGCCTAACCGGTTGTTTAGCTCATGAACGCCGTTTATTATCCTGTACGTGTTGGTGGACACTTAGGTTGGCGCTAGCCCGGTTCGGCGTAAGAACTCGGTAATCAGTGGGTTAAGAGGGAAACGAAGGCCCCCTTCGACAACGGACAGCACGGTGAAGGGGCATTCCTCCCTACCCCAAGGCGTGGTCTCTTCTTCGGCCAGCTCGAGATGGACGTCGGCCGGGACGCCGTACTCCTCTCTGAAAGCGGCTAGCGCGGCCGGAGTATCCACTAGGAAGCGGAATTTCCCCATTTGTGGCCGACTTACTATAGCCCGGTTGATGGGTTGGGCACGGTGGTAATTGGCTGCAGCTCGGTCCTGAGAGGTTCAGGAATGACAGTAGTCCCCTTGGACTCTGCAGGAAAAGGATGGCAAGTGTAAGTGAGCGTGGTTTCGCAATTGGAGCTAGACTTCAGCTCGGTCAGTAAGGGTGCCAAACCACCTCGGTTGTCTAATTAAGGAGCTCGGTCGCCCAAGCAGACCTGATGTTAGCCCGGTTGAGCGACCAAGTCCTTTGGTTATCTCGGTTTTTGCTGCGGTTGAAACAAACGTGTTGTTTGCCCGGTTTGATTGGTTTTTTGGATCAAAAGAAGGCCCAGAGCCCGGTTCACCCCAATTCTTCAGCGTTCTTCAGGAAGACGAAGAACACCAAGAACAGTGGGAGGTTTGGGACGTTATCTATGGTCTATGCCCTAAAAGCTACGTTTTTGTGCCCTAATGTGTGTAATATAAAAGAAAATGGCAACAGAATAAAGGTAGAATGACTTACCAGAGAAGGGCAGGGCCTAATCCCACAATCACGAAGAATGGCAGTCGAGTTTGAGGAAAAGGCTAGAGCTTCAGAATCGTCAGAAATGGAAGCAGCAGTGGGAAGAAATGGAATGATGGGGGGCATGTATGTATAGGCGAAAGAGACCGCCGAAATTCAAATTCTGGCAAAAACGGCGGGTTGGCTGCCCGATGACCAATGGCAGGCTGCCACGTGTCCCCATTTATGGCTACGTCAGGACTGAAGCGACGGGTTGAAAAGACGAAGAGCCAACCGAGCTACTTTCGACGAAGAGGAGGTCAGCCGGGGAATATAACCGGTCAAGACTGCAGACTACGTCGACTAGCCCGGTCGAGGCTTGGCGTCTTAAAGACCGGAGAAATGTTATCTCGGTCGAAGTGAGTAATCCCAGTCACGCTTCAGCGAACGGAATTAAGGGGCAATTGAGAGGGTGATTTGTGATCTGGAGTTGAGCCGAGGTAACGGCCGAGCAAGTTGAGGGCCCAACGATGCGTGGGTCCGAGATGATCGACTTTCTGCCCAGACTTGGGCCGGGCAGAGTTCGGGCTGAGTATGTCACCCCGGACTGGACAGAAACTGCTCGGTAAGGCAGTGCTCGGTCGGACCAGGATGGCGTGGAGTGGCCGGCGCCCGGGAAGGCGTGGACAACCGAGGAAGTTGAGTGACCGGTGCCCGGAAAGGCATGGTCAGCCAAGGAGACTGTTTGACCGGCAGGGAGGCCGAGCAAAGTATCCGGGCTAGGCTCAGCCGGGATGCCGCCTAGCCCGGTCCTCCGTGTGTTTATCCGGTTAGGCGCTTGAAGTATGAAGCATGGCATGACCGAGATAGAGCAGCTCGGCTGCCGAACTCCGGCTGTGAAGTCAGGCAGTTGGGATTAGGTGAAGATCGGCAATGTTTACGCTGACAGATGGGATAGTAGAGCCACGTGTCAGGAGATGACTGGGAGTGGATATGGGGCTCAGAAGGTATATAAGCATGTCTGCGCCCCCCATACGCGACACACGAACATCTCTGTAAGGAATTCTTACACTCAAATACTCTCTCCCTTCTCTCTATCCATCCTTAGGTGTGTGCTAACTTGATCGTCGGAGGGTGTTTCCGGCCACACACCGCCGGGTAGCTCACCATTACTTGCTCGCAGGTGATCGGACATCGACGGAGCTCGGAAGAAAGGAGTACGGGCTTGCCGGAATATCTGCTCCCCGTACAGTTTATGTTTACAAAAATTTTATAAACTGATTTTTGTTTATTTTTAGAAAAACATAAATTACAAACGCGTTTGGTTTGAACAAAATGTTAAAAAAATTTAAAAACATAAACTAAAAAAAAATTAAGAATTAAATCCTAAATCTTAAACCTTAAAATAAAAAAAAAAATTAAGAATTAAAATAAAAAAGTAATCATTTTATATAGTTGATTATTATTTGCTATTATAAATTATTATTATATATATTTAATATTGGTCTTAATTTTATAAAATAAAATTTATATATAATAAAAATTATATTGGTTTGATGTGTGTGTGTGAGTGATGAGTGTTTGTGTGTCAGAGAGAGAGAGAGAGAAGAGTGAGTGCGTGATGTGGTTTGGGCTAATATTAAAAGTGTGGTTCCAAACCATGTTTTCTCAACAAAAAAAAATCACTTAAAAGCGTAGTTTGAAACCACGTTTTATGAAGAGAAAAAAAAAAACTTAAAAGCGTGGTTTGCAACCACGTCTTCTTAATTAAAAGAATGATTTGTAACCACGCTTTTACGATTTTACAAATTTTCTGCGAGAGGGTCAGATAAATGGTGAAAGCGTGGCTCACAACCACGTTTTAGCCTAGTTTGAGAATTCCGTCCAAACTAAGCCTAATTTAAAAAATAAGTTACTATTTTATCCTAATTTGGGAAAAGGCCTAGAGATTGAGCATTAAATAACAATACATACATGCACATATTTACTTAGAAATATATTTATATATTTTTTAGAGAGTGATTCTTGCCAATTTTTTTGTTTTAGCGTAGACTCTACAACAAATAAAGTTTGTTGTTGTAAAACATAAGATCACTAACTTCGAGGCTTCGACCATTAAAGTTTTGTTGGATTTTTATTTACAATAAAATGTAATGCAGGTCTGAGCACCTTGAGTGTACTGTTTGTTATCCTATTCGTTAAATTCTTGTGTATCCTATTCGTTAAATTCCTGTGTAAAGCCTGTAGCTATTACTTGCTGTCAAAGAGCATTAGTACAACTTCATGACAGATATGAGGTTTATGTTGACTTAGAATGATAGAAAAATAGTGATAATCTTTAAAATAACCCAGCTGTTTAGATACCCATTTCAAAAAAGAGACAATAGAGGAAGCATCAAGAGAGTCACTGCTAGAGGAATGAGAAGACTCTAAAGAACTGGCAATATCAATACTCTCACGGGATGGTAACAGAACATGATCAACAGGCAGAACAAGATCATCAGGAATAGCTGAAGAACCATTGGATAAAGAGGCATCTCACTACAACAAAATTAAATTTTTATGGCTTGTAATACATGCCATAAAAATTCTTTCACGGCATGCACACAAATGCCTTTATATGACATGCCGTGAAAAGTTGAGTATCATTATCATTTACGGCATACAGGTAAAGTTGTAAAAAGTAATAAATTAAACATTAATGACGTCCTTTGTATTTTGTATATAATTTTTTATGACATTTTTGTCATGCTATAAATCATCATACTTTTCATGGCATAATTTTGCATGCCGCAGAAAGTTGTTTTTAATATATTTATGCCATATTTTGTATGCCGTATATAATATTTTACGGCATTTTCTTGCATGTCATAAATCATCACACTTTTCACGACATAATTTTGTATGCCGTAGAATGTCATTTTTAATATATTTATAACATACTTTGTATGCCGTATATAATCTTTTACGGCATTTTCTTACATGTCATAAATCATTACACTTTTTCATGACATAATTTTATATGCCGTTGAAAGTTATTTTTAATATATAATATATATACAGGAATATAACCTTACCTAACAGTATGTAGACAGTAGCTAATAAAATGCAACATGTTAACAAACCAAGCAGAAGCAACAACTATGAAGTAGAAAAAAAAATCTAATATCCATACACCAAACAACCTGTATGCTAACTTTCATCCTCAACTTCTATCATATCAAGCTGATAACAACCTCAAACATACAAATCAAAAAAAATATCCAAATCATAAGATTCACTAATCTCTAAAATAAGATTTTAAATATCCAAAAAGTATAACTACAAATCGTAAATCAATTAGTCTAATATTTAGTCCAAAAGAACGAATTGTCTAGGCCATGCAACTATACTTCCAATTGCATCTTGAAGATCATACATTTTATGAGTAGAACGAAACAACGGCATGTTGAATATTACGTGGTTCACCCATACTTTCCAACACAAAGGTCCAAGAGTCACACGATGCACCTTTGACTTGGGATCCCTTGATGCAATTTGGCCTTCTACAACCACCAAGTTTGTCCCCTCCCAATGCAACAACTTGTATTTGACATTCTCTAAAATCGACACACCATTACTTTGACCCCACAAAAATTAAGAGTATATAAGCATACTGCATAACATTCATCCCATTTACCAAGCATTAGCTCAACAAAGGAAATGAAAGTGTCAAAAAACTTCAAGGAGAACTCACTTATGAGTCAATGTCAGAAAAGAAAATTTCAACCTGATAGAATACACATTTTGAGGTGGTCACACTTATGAGTCTACTCAACCTGATGAATTTATAAAAACTAAATTCATCAAAGTCCCAACAACAATTTGATTGTCGACTGTCATTTGAGTGTTTCCTAAATAAAAACAGAAGAATACATATATTCATCAGAGAAATTAGAAAATAAAAAGAATTATAATATCATTCCATGAATTTCAGGATGAAGACATAGAACACATGCCAAGGCCAGCATCAATATCATTGATCATTAAACAGCTCATCTTCCCCAGTATTAGTCAAGGAAAAAATAAACTGCGTTGATAGCTTAGAGTAGGTGAATAATAAGAAATGAGAAAATCCATCAGCTTGTTGGCATGAATATAAGGAGACCCCCTTAGCACAGTATTTAATTCAATTATCTATTGTTGCTGATCAAAAAATAAAAAAACCAGTATCATCTTACATTAGAAATAATGCCAACAATTGTATCAATCAAAAAGAGGTCATGTTACAGTGGATCTAAACAGCATCAATGACTTTTCTACCTTTTGAATGCTTTGTGTGATAAACAAAATATAAATGGGACATGTAAATAATAACCTTGGACTGTTGACAAGTGGTACAAAGCCTCTAGTTTGGGACTGAGTCCGAGGAATTAAAAAAGGGGAAGGAAGTGAAAAGGTTGACTGAAGTCAGCTATGATTACACACACTGCCTCAGGTTTGACAAACAAGATTCACATGAAAAAGATTTGGGTCAAAGTTTTTGCGTCCGTTAACTCCGCTCACCACATAGTTCATGAAATCTGTAGAGAATTTGTAACATTATACATGCTTTTACCAAACCCAGAGATGGCTTTTGAATGTTTGGAATCCCACATCTAGAATAAAACACTATTACTACTAACTGAGAGCAACCACTGGCCTAAATTAATGATATGCAGAATGTTGTTATAGTTTCATGATAGCCATCATATGAATTAAAAGTTTCATGAATGATTATGATTTTGTGACATGCACAAGCTCAATTATGTAACAGGGCACTAATTGAGGAGTGGTGGTATCTGTTTCTGTATCGAAGGTGGATTGCATGAAATAATCTCTAGGCTCACATAAATATCTTCGTGGTCATTAGTATATTTTGCCAACCCCCTCTCCAATACTTGTGAAGGTTTTCATTACATTCCATGTAACCAAAGTCAAATCCATTTTCGAGCAAATCATAGCATTCAACTTTACATCTCATTTGTAAATTATGGAGGGATTAGGCCTCGTTTGGGAACAGGCTAATTTAGTAACTTTTTGGCTATTTGACTCAAAAGGTAGGTAAAACAAACTTGTATGTTTGGGATGACTTTTTGGCTAATTACGAAAAGATGTGCAAAAAGTAGAGAGAAAAGAAAATCTTTGACTTTTTGGTATGAGTTGGTGGCTTTTTGGCTAATTTAGTAACTTTTTGGCTAATTGGCTAAAAAAGTAAGTCTCCAAACGGGGCCTAAGATGGTTAAATACTCAAACAGAGATTATGCTTAGGAGATTTTTTTTTTTTTTTGGGCAAGGGAGCACTTCAGTGGCACTTAATAAAGAAGATACTGATTGAATCATCACTAATCTGATTGAATCCCTAAGTGCAGATATACACCAGTTGAAAGAAGGTGAACATGGTGGCCTTGAACTTTAGAAGTCAAACTACAGCTTAATGGAACAGTTGGACTTTGTGGTCAGATTATCATCATATTCTCTTCCAGAAAATTTGTAACCTCTAGATCTCCCACAGAAGTACTACATGACACAGATTCACAGTATCAACGAAATCTTGGTCCATAGAAATCTCCTATCAGTAATTGTAAAATCAGTTTCTGCAAAAGCTGGGCCATGCAGCTTTACAATGAAAAGCTATCACTTAATTTATTGCCTAATCTTCTCAGAATCGACCTAATATCAGATAAAGACATCCTAAATGGAAGTAGTATCTCCTCAGTTTCAGCATGTTAGTAAAACAGAACACGACCTAGTTCGAGATTTATTTAAAATTCATTTATTGGAATATATTGATTTAGGTCCGTGGACAGCAATCAAATTGTTGAAAACCATATTGAATTAAATATAATGAAGAGCCACCAAATATAGATAGGTTTCAGCTATATAAACTTCGAATTGCAAGAGGTACTGAAATATAAGAAGTTAAGAGTTGGGGCTGCAATGCATTACAAACAATTAAAAAAAAAAAAAAAAACTACGATTGGCAATCCATAACATGTTACATAACCAAATCAACAGAAATTTTCATTCAAGAGCTATAAACACAACACAATTCAAAATACCTCATAAGCTCCTGTCTCTCTATGAATCCTTGCTGCTTGAGATCATAAAGTTGAAATGAAACTGCAAGGGAGAAAAATTTAGGTTAATTGAATAGAAATCAAACCAAAATTAAAGAGAGAGGAGAGAGGAGAAACTGAATTAATCGAATAAGGGATGCAACCCAAGGCTCTCACCGAATTAATCCAAGGCTCTCACCGAATCAATCGATTGATGCTCTCACCGAATTAATCAAATCAAAATGCAATCGATTGGTGATCAGAGGGGCAGTGGCTGGTGGTGGTCGCTGGTGGTGGTCGCTGGTGCTGCTCGTGTGTTTGTCTGAGATGTCGATGGAGAGAAAGGAGAGAGCAGGAGAGAGAGCGAGACGTATATACAAAAAAGAGAATAAAAAATGTGTGACCCAACAGATTGCAATAAATTTGTTTTAAAAAAAAAAACTGATATTTTAAATCAGATTGATAAATCTGTTAAAAAAACAAATGACAATATTAATAAAAACAATGGGGTATTTTTTTTAAGGTCCTTGATATTATGATTTTATAGTATAAAGGACATCAAATATTTTCATGATGTCTAAGGTCCCTCAACATCAATCCAGAGAAAATTGGTCCAGAGAAATTTCAATCCAGAGAAAATTAGTCCAGAGAAATTTCATACCAAAATTCTTTGAAAAGTCTAATTATTCTTAGAATTTCTCTAGCCCAATTTTCAGTTTTAAGTACTGGGGACACCGAATCATTTTTTGTTCTGTATATTCATTTCTACATTTCAGTTGTCATATCTGTTTCTAAAAGTCTGAAACATTTATAATAAGTTTCATTTCTCATTCCAATTTTGCAGGGAATTGTGTATTTCATTCTTGCTGCTGCTGCATTTCTCAACTGCATAGCCTTTGTTGTGACAAAGAGAAATTGCTTTATATTTTTGGGTGGTGCTTTCACCATCTTGGTTGGAACATATTTCGGATTTTACCGTACAAAAATTAAGAAGAAGTTCAACACTAGAGTGAGCATCTACCTTGTATTGTTGATCTGGTGCTGACGATGACAGAGTATCATGACCATTTGCCAAGTCATTGTCATCATCTCGATCAACTGGTAACCCAAAGTCAATCAAGCATATTGTCCTTTATTTTCAGAGATTCTCTCACCCAGAGAATTTCTCTGGACTCCACAACCTAGAGAAAATTTCCAAACATATTTCCAGAGAAATTCTCTCAACCCAGAGAATTTCTCTGAACTCCACAACCTAGAGAAAATTTCCAAACATATTTCCAGAGAAATTCTCTTAACCCAGAGAATTTCTCTGGGCTCCACAACTCAGAGAAAATCCAGAAGCTTGCTTAATCCACCGAATAATTTCTCGTTGAAGAAAATCAGAGTAATCAAACCTCAAACATGACTAGTCTCTTACCAGGAGGAGGAGAACCCATCAAATGGCATCACTGGCCATCTTCTCTATTCCAAAAATACCATGCAAAACACTGAGGAAGCTGTTTATCCATGGAACTGCACACGAGCATTTCATGATGTTCCTTCTAAGGATTCCGAATCTGAGAGATGTGCAGCTGAGAGAAGATTATTACCCGGCACCGGAGAATGACATGAGCACGGAGATGAGAATGGACTCGTGTCGTTATTTTGAGGACGCATTGAATGGGCGTCATATCCTTGAGTGAAACAAGATTTGACAACCCTTTCATGTAGTAGTTCAAACCCTAAAAAAATCACTAAAACAACTCTTGTGACATGTATGAGTTTTGTGAAATTGAGATTTTCTAATTCTGTTGACAGTTTAGTTTTGATGATGCTTTGCAAGTAGCTCCTCTTCGAAGAGATCAGAAAGCTGCAAACCAGGCGTTGATGATGAGGATGCGTTTTCACGGAGGTGGTCGTCGACGCGGGTCAGATGGAAGGACTGAAATTTCTCTAATATATGTTTAGGGACTTTAGACATCAAAAAATAATTTTGTGGATCTCTTCCATTACGAAAAGTGGGAGAGGGACTCTAGACCGATTTTCCCAAAAACAATTTGGGATGCAAAGAATGTGTAATTTTAACAATATTAATAAATAAAAAAAAATGGAGTAGAAAATTTTAGAAAAAAATATTTAAGCTTATAAATTATTTTGTATTAAAAAAAATCTAGATTATAACTAGAATATCTAGTTTATTGGAAAAAAAATAAAAATTTGTCGTATCTACTAGAAATTTATAAATATTTAAGGACATCTAGAATTTTTTTTTATTATTTATAATTAAAATATAATTTCTCTAGAGAATAAAACAGTTTGGAACAAAAACATGTATGGATTTAGAATGAAAGGGAGCGTGGCATAAGTTTTTAAATAATTTTTTTTTTACTTTTAAAATTCAAATAATTTACATATACTTAAAAGGAAAAATATTTTTTAATTTTCTAAAAAAATCACTAAATTAAAAAATATATAAAATTTAATATTTTACGACATGAATTGTATGTTATCTTAAGTGCAAATATTTTATGACATATTTTTATATGCCGTGAAAATATACATTTTTTACGGCATACTTTTGCATGCCATAAAAAACTCATATTGCATTTTTTTTTTGGGCACAAGTTTTCACGACATTCATTAGCATGTCGTGTAAAGTTATAATATTTTACAGCATAAAATGTATGTTGTCTTAAATACAAATATTTTACGACATAGTTTTGTAAGTCGTAAAAACATACATTTTTTATGACATATTTTTGCATGCCATAAATATATGAATTAATGACTTGCATGGCATGCATGCTGTTATTGACAAAACATTAACAGCTTGCAAAAAAAAAAAATGCCGTAAAATGTACTAACTATGACATGCATTTAATATATGCCGTAAACATGATGCCGTAAATAGTTAGTTTTGTTGTAGTGTCTGTAGGAGCATCATCAAGAAAAAGAACAATGGAAGGATTAGTAAAATATGAGATAGTGGAACTAGAAGGAAGAGAGAATTTGGAAATGAAGGAGAACATTTTGTGTTCCAAAAACTTGAATGGCAAGAGATATGAAGACGGCGAGAGATAGGTTCCAAACATCAAAACCTTTTTATGTTCTATGCCATAGCCTAAGAAGCAACACAGTTGCGACCATGGTTGTAACTTGTTGCGTTCATGGGAAGGAAGAAGAACAAAACAGGCATATCCAAAGACTCGGAGTTTAGTGTAGGAAAAAGATGTACCATAGAGACGTTCATATGGCATTTGATTGTCAATGACAAGAGATAGGATATAGTTAATAGTGTAAACAGCTGTAAGGGAACCTTCACCCCCAAAATGCTCAGAATAAGAAAAAGAGATGAGAAGAGCTCTGACTGTATCAAGAATGTGCCTGTGCTTGCGTTCAGCATGACCATTTTGTTAGGAGGTGTGAGAACAAGAGCGATGGGGAAGTGTACCAAACTCACGAAGAAGTTTTAAAAAGCTGGTTTCTTTATATTCTTGAGCATTGTTTGATCGAAAAACTTTGATAGAATAACCAAATTGAGTATTAATCATTTTAGCAAAATCAAAATAAGTTTAAGGCAACTCAAAACGTTGTTTTAAAATATAAATCCAAGTGAATCGGGAATAATCATCCACGAAAATGACAAAATATTTGGAGCCCCCCCATAGTGGTATTGGGAGAAAGACCCCAAACATTAGAGTGAACTAAATCAAATGAAGATTTTGAAACAGAATCACTTATATTTAAATACAGAGCTGGTTGTTTAGCATTTTGACAAGATTGACAATAATTACTATAATTAGAATAAATATAGCCTAAATTGCCACTAGATACTAAAGTACATAACCGATTAAAAGGAACATGCCCTAATCTAGAATGCCAAAGATTAGGAGAGGTGGTGGATGTAACGTGCTGAGTAGTAGGTGCAAAAAATGGTAGATAGAGATTTATAAGCTCAAACAGATGTCCAATTTTACACTCTATCCCAATAGTCTGTCCTGTTTGCCAATCCTAAACCTGACAACCAGAGGAGGAGAAGAAAACAGTTAAACCAAGTTCACAAAGTTGACCCATAGAGATAAGATTTAGGGTGAGGGCAGGAATATGATAAGCATCAAAAAGAGACACAGTGGAGGTAGAGACGCTACTAATATGACTAACAGACATATGGGTGCGATTAGCAGTATGAATAATAGGTAAAGTATTAGAAGAAGTAAAAAAGGAGAAAGCAATGGAATCTGATGTCATATGATTACAACATGCAGAATCAAATAACCAAGAAGAGTTACCTGAGGTAGCAAATAAGGCAGTGTTGTGAGAGGTAGCAGAATGGACTTGTTGAAGCATGGCCTCCATATCATTTTGAGAATAATATATAGCAGATGGATCTATAGGAGGAGAAGAATCATCAGCAATAGTAGCAGTAAATCAAGAGGCAAGCTTATACCGAGACCCTTGTTTATAGTGACCCCATCTTGAGTTCCAAGATAAGTGATTATTCCAAGATTGTTTCTGGGAACAGTGATTCTCAAAGTGACTAGGCCCTTGTTTATGACAAGTACGACAATCCCTAACTGGACAATGAAGAAGAGAATGACTAAAATTGAGACCTCAATTCTTACAGTAATAACTGAAAAATCTACAAATCCCCTAGATATTGATTTGTGATTATGTATCAATTTTAAGCAATAAATATCAATCTCAATCAAACAATCAAGATAAATCGACATAACGATTTTAACGCTGAAAAACCACAATTGGAGCGCCTCCAGTTGTGATAAAAAAAATCACTGGCCAAAGCTACAAACACAATCCACTAAGAAGACAAAAGGAATTACACAAGTGAACTCTCAATTACCTAGCGAATCCACGCTCGAAATGAACCGACCCCTATATGCCTTTTCCACCACGGTCTTCACCTCGGAATTGTCTTGCCCAATGTTGAATCCACAACACCGATGTCGAATCACGACGATGAGCCACTCTGGAATCCACCAAAGCTTTAGGCTCGAATTCTCCAAAATCCACCGAAGAAGAACACTCTCTTTTGTATAGAATAAACAAACAATCATTTGATGTATACTTCTTGAACTATGAGTTGAATACTCAATCAAACATCAAAGAAAACTAGCAAAATAGCCCCAGAAAAAAACCCTAATACCTAAAAAGAAGATCTGAAAGTCGTGCCCTAAAATCTGATTGAAACATATATTTATAGCAAATAGGGTTGCGATCTCTGCTCGAGCGCAGGAATGGCCACTCCAGCGGACCTCGCTCGAGCTCAGGAAAGTTTGCTCGAGCGTAAAATCCCAACTCTTAGTATTTTTACAGGCAAGTGAAACTTTTGAAACCAAAGATTCTCCGCTCGAGAACATAAACGGTTGCTCGAGCGAACAAGCAACTCGATCCC